ATATATATAACAAGTTAATGTATGTGCATGTACTCTGCCAGGAATGTGTGCAAACCGATCCAATTGGCTTCGTGAAGTATAGGCATATGTAGATATATATTAGCATGTCTGTAATATATGTGTTTTTGGGGTACGTACTTTAACTGGATTATCAATGCTATACTCAAATGAGTTATTTAGCACATATTTCTGTTAGGTATAATGAATCACAAAATAACTAGGGAGAGACTGCTTCACTTAAATAACTTAAAGAGCTGGTAAACCCCAGTAGAAGTTTCGATTTTCTTTCCAGCATTTGCAGTCTAATGTTTAACAGCCGTTTGTCACACGAATGAACAAACATTGTTTTTAGAGGCACAATATTCTAGCCCTAGCAGCAATATCTTTTACATTACTTATCATTATTTTCAATATTTTTTAAGACTACACAAGGTTATGTTACTTTCATTGCAAAATGGTTAAAAATTCACATAATTTGCTTCAGAAGAACGCAAAATGGGTGAAAAGATCCGCGCCCAGCACATAGCCACCTTCTTAGAGCGCAAAGGCCCTATGACTAATGATGAAATTGTGCAAAACCTTAAAACAATTACCCAGCTACCCGGTGCCAACTTTCTGGACTGTTACCTTGACATAGCTGATGACGAATACCTGACGATTTGGATCGATAACGAAGCGGTAACATATATTTTGATAGGTTTACCATATTAGGACCCAGAGGAATATTTAGACTTGCGATGCATAGAAAATGTTCATGGTTTAAGTTCGAGAAAAGGTGTTGTGCCTGAACGACACATGTTAGTCTTTCGGTTTCGAGCTAGTGAGCTGACCCATCGGAGGTGTCCGGACGAAGTACATGTCTTCGAGCTTGGCACGGAAGAGACTTTACACTGGGCCACTGCCGAGATAGAAGCAGGTGCGGAATATGCCAGGTAAGAGGCACCTTTTATATCCAAACAGCCTAGATTTAACCGAAATCATACACGGGCAAGGCATATACCGTGTCAGCCAAAGGACAAACGTTGGAATGTAATCGATCGGCCACAAAAAATGGGGAATATTCCTAAGCGAGTACGTTCAGCATTATACTATCTGGTACATATCTAAGTGAAGCTTGTAGAAAAAAAGTAGAAGTTAGGCATAATATTTTACTTTGCTAGGCCTCTAGCGACACAGGCCTTCTCCAGAAGCTCAACTACCTTCTTACTGAAATAGAATACTTCGAGGCCAGTCCACAAGCTACTACCCTTCACATAAGAAAACATTTTAATATTTCTGCCCCAATTTTATTTTTTTTAGCCAGAGATCATAATTAGGGACCGTGGATACTACAGTAAGTAATGTTTCATATTTTGTCGGATCATCCCATGTTGGCATTTAAAATGACAAAAACCAAAGGCTTGTATAACACGTTTATTTGAAACCAATTTCTACAAGGTGTAAACACATGTAAGCTCTAGCTTGACAATATTTCCAAACGATTGCAATTTTTCAAGACCACCCAAAATTATGCTGGAGAACAAAGAACAAATCAGGATCGTCCTATCAAAAAAACCAAATTTGGTCACTCGCATAAATATTTTTTTAAAACGACTTAAATATGCATTTTTATCTTCAGGTATTTGTCTTCCTCTTCTTTGACCAGATGTCTATTTTGACCGCCAAATAGATAACTTTTGTAATACCTATCGGCAACTATATGTAGTAATCGAGTATTAACTATGCAAGACAGTAATATATGGCACCAGATTTCACTACGCACTAGATTCTTTTTCATTACGAACGACCTCTGCATTACGTTTAAACCCCTTTGCCTTTTAGTGAAGTGCAATGTAAAGAAACTTAATGTGGAATCTTTGTTAAAAAAAACCTGCAACCAATTCATGTACACTGTTCTTCATTGTCTTTCACTTTCCGTTATGTTGGTAATACAGTACTTGCCGGTTATTAAGCCCACGGTTAATAAACCCAGCCGCGTATTAAGCCCAAGTCAGCTTGGGACAGAATTTTACATAGCGAAATCCGCCGGCTAATAAGCCAAGTTGCCGGCTACAAAGCCCAGTTTGCCAACAGGATAGAGTGAAATTATCATCTCT